TTCTGTGGCTGTTACGAAGGAATTCGTAACTGATTCTTTCTCCAGAACCAGCAGACCTTCACCAAAGAATTACATGACGAATGAGTTTGATTACGAACCTCGACATGAAGGTTTCGGTGGCTGTTAGTCACGAAGGAATTCGTAACCGATACTTTCTCCAGAACCAGCAACCACCAAAAAATTACATGACGAATGAGTTTCTCGTCATGAAGGCTTCTGTGGCTGTTACGAAGGAATTCGTAACTGATTCTTTCTCCAGAACCAGCAGACCTTCACCAAAGAATTACATGACGAATGAGTTTGATTACGAACCTCGACATGAAGGTTTCGGTGGCTGTTAGTCACGAAGGAATTCGTAACCGATACTTTCTCCAGAACCAGCAACCACCAAAAAATTACATGACGAATGAGTTTCTCGTCATGAAGGCTTCTGTGGCTGTTACGAAGGAATTCGTAACTGATTCTTTCTCCAGAACCAGCAGACCTTCACCAAAGAATTACATGACGAATGAGTTGGATTATGAATTTACCACGTAGAATTCTGCACCTAAATGGACCAAAGCAAGTAAAATAAACATCACGTAGACCTAGAATTGATTCCACAATAGGTTAATTATCAAAACTCCCAGATTTAACACTTAGTAAACATAGTACAGATATTAATCTTATGAATCGAATAAAATATACTAAAAAATACCTTTAATTAAAAATTATGATACTTTAAACTTCTTTAAGTCGTTATTTGGTTATAGCTGTTCAGTACTTATGTCATGGTATTAAATTCGATCTACGACATATGTGCGATTATTAGTAATTGCATAAAAAATATGAATCAAAACTCAGTGCTATGAATATGGTACTTAGCTTAGATTTGGAACTAATCTAAATCTATATTTCGGTTTTGAGTTAGCCTATGACAATCGTATGTTTTACTTGAAGAAACCCAATAAAGCAGCTAAACCTTAAGAATTGGATAGAAATTAATATAAAATGAATCTTGGATACTAATATCGATACTAAAAAAAAAATTCAATACTTAGCTTAAAATAATAGGCACTACGTAGAATTTATATACCTAATGGAACAGCACTAAGAAACATTTAGTGACACGTACGAAGAGCTCTTAATGCTCTAGCACCAGTTTTCCCATCAATACAGTCGTAACCTTAAACACATACAACTACGTAGAATTCTGTACCCAGTACTAAGAAGAAAAGTGTAGAACATGAATAACGAACACGTACGTAGAGCGCTTAATGCCCTAGCACCATTATTTCCATCAGTCCAGTCGTAACCTTAAACGCATACAACCACGTAGAATTCTGTACTAAGGCAAGTAAAATAAACATCCACGTAGACCTAGAATTAATTCCACAATAGGTTAATTGCCAAAACTTCCAGATCTAACACTTAGTAAACATAGTACAGGTATTAATCTTATGAATCGAATATAATGCACTAAAAATTACCTTTAATTAAAAATGTATGGGTAGGTTAGACTTCTTTAAGTCGTTACTTAGTTATAACGTTCAGAACTTATGTCATGCTTTTAAATTCGATCTACGACATATGTGCGATTATTAGCAATTGCATAAAAAATATGAGTCAAATGAATCTAGTACTCAGCTTATATTTAGAATTAATCTAAATCCATATTTCGGTTTTGAGTTAGCCTATGACAATCGTATGTTTTACTTGAAAAGACCCAATTAAAAATTGCTAAACCTAAATAATTGGATGTAAATTAATATAAAATAAATCTTTGGATACTAATATCGACACTTAAAAAAAAAATAAAAAAATAAAAAAATAAAAAAATAAAAAAATAAAAAAATAAATAAAAAAATAAAAAAAAAATCTAATACTTAGCTTAATCATTAATCAGCAGGCACTACGTAGAATTTATGACCAGCACTAAAAAGGCTTTAGCGACACATATGAAGAGCTCTTAATGCTCTAGCACCAGCACCAGTTTCTCCATCGGTTTACCCGCATTGTTAAACACAGACAAATTCTATGCCCTATTGGACCAGAATAAACAAACTGCAGCCCAGCATTTAGCGAACACGTACGTAATTTAATACCCTAGCATAAGTTTCCCATAAGTCCAACCGCAGCCTTAAACACATACAATCACGTAGAAATCTATGCCTAGATAGACCAAGGCAAGTAAAATAAGCATCCATTTAGACCTAGTATTAAAGGTAAACTCAGGAACAGTGGCCGAAAGTCCGTGACCCACGAAAAAGATGCCTTCATCTCATGTAATCGTGATTAACATGAAAATTGCACAATCACCCAAACAAACAAAATAATCGAATGAACAGTGTATAACCAAAATAAGATAGCCACGAATGAAAAGCCCAGGTGTCTTAATGGCGAGACAAAATTATGAAATGGAGTGAAAAAATAGTTAGGCGGAAAAGTCTAAATATATATAATTAGAAAAAAAAAAGGGAGAAACTTATCTGCTGAATCTAAGAACAGTAAATAGTGGGAAAGCAGTGAAGAAAACTGTAAACCCCTATAATAGCATAATTAGTTAACAGCTTGAAAAATGAATAAAATAACAACAAAAAATTATCAATAAAATACTTATCTCTTACGTCCTTAAGTAAAAACAATAATACTCGTCCAAATCGTCTCCACACCTGTATTATGTTTGTAAGCGTAGTTGTTCCCACGTTTCACTAGAATTAGTTCCCAATATCATAATTGTTAAAAATCGTAGATTTGAACGCTTAGTAAACACACAGTACGAATAATAACCTTATGAGTCGGATAAAGATATACTAAAAATACCTCCAGATATCTATTTATATTTCTCCTTAAGTACCTTATTCGTCTCAAACTGGTTAAAATACTGACTGTTCGTTAATTAAAAAGAAATTTCGCCAAACAATTACCTAACGTGTTTTGATAACGAGTTAAAAATTAAAAAATGTAGATCATCAAAACAATCAAAATAATAATTTATATATCTGATCCTTGTCGATCATGACCCTCGCACAGTAAACCCAGTGATCGACAATCATTTGAGAAAATCAGCA